ATAACAAATAAATTTGAAAATCTATTGAAGCATAAGCATAAGCATTAACAAAAGTGGGGCAAAGGTAAAACTAATAAAAAAATTAATTTTTCTTCTGACACCTTAGCATGTTTATTTATCTACTTTGTGTGTTTAATTTTTGTTCTATTTTAAGCATAATTACATATTTTCATTTCTTTATTATATTGTTATTTTTCTTATATATGTATTTCAATTTTATGTGTTATTTTATCTCATCTTTTTGATAATGTCAAAGGGGAAGAATGTATTGTAGTTGGTTATATTTATATTTTATTTTTTAAAATTTTTTGTTATTTAGCTTTAAATATTTTTGTAAAAAAAAACTAAAAATGCTTTCACCTATTTTTTAAAGTAATTCTTTTAGTGAGGGGGGGTTTAGGAGAATTTTTTTTTAGTTTGCAAATTCAACTAATATTATTTATCATTATAAAAAAGGGGGAGATTGTTGCAACTCGGGCTTCAAAGTTTGTGATTTTGATAATAACAAATAATATTGATTACCACTTTATTTCTCATAGTATTTGTAGTACATATTTGTTTGTGTGTTGACAAATATTTCAAGTATACCATGCACTGTTCTTTGAAAATTCAGTGCTCAAGATTAGGTAGAACATGTTATGTTACATAAGTCTATAATTTTTATTTATTTAGTTTTTAATTTCTTGAGTCAAGTTCTGTAATGATGTAAGTTGGCTTGGTGATTATGTACACACAGAGGGAGCAAAAATAATTTTAAATATTCTAATTTTTCTGTATATCATACTATACAATCTAATATTAAAAAAATTAATTAAAATAATTTATTTTCCTAGAAAAAATAATTTTGAAATATAACTAATAGTACAGTACGAACACCACATTGTACTGGACGATCTGTTATAATTAGAAAATCTGTCATCCATTAAAATTAGGCAAAAATTTAAATTTGAAAAGTTGTTCTAATCGTACTGTAGGAAACTGATCATATTGTATGATGTTTAAAATATTACTTAATTTAATACTGTAATTAGTCAATTGAATTAGCTTAATTTTGATATTTTAATCTTATTGTACGAACTGGATCATACTGTATGATTAACAATGATGATTTTGGTTGTCCCATGCTCATCCAGGACAAAATACATTTCCATTAAACTATTCATATAACACTAACTAGTGATCGTACAACACGAACAAATAAATTTAACTATTCGTACAGTACTAACTAGTGATCGTATTGTACTAACAAGTCAAATTCTACAAATCGTAGTGGATGATCATGTGATTGTACAGTACGATCTTTAATAGCTGAATTGATTTTTTTTAGGATTTTTGAAGACCCTCTATTTAAGCTTTCTCATAAAACTTTATAAGAGCCTTTGGCAGCCATGTGTCTTCGATCTTCTAGAGAAAACTTAAAGAGAGGACTTGAAAGGGAGAGATAAAAGGGTGGATTTTGAGAGGGAGAAGATCCTTGGAGGGGGTTTCAAGGGAGTGTGGAGGGCATTTCACATAGTTTCTCTAGAAGCTTGCACCTTAGTACCATCAGATTCTAGGTACGTATTGAGGGAAGTTTTAGGAAGAAGAAGATCTCATTGGTGTCAAAGGACCCACTCCACTGCCGCATTGAGGAAGGTTGAAGTGATTTTGTAAGGGTTTCTCCGCCTAGTTGTGGGGGCTAAAGTAGAGTCACTTAAGGTTTAGTGTAATACTCGGATGGTGCCTCTAGGGAGTGGACATAGGTCATGGTTGAGCGAGTTACTATAAATCTGATGTGTTCTTTCCTTTATTATTTTCACACTTTTTTACATTTATTTTGGTTTGTGATTAACTACATCGGTGAAATTGATAATCTATCCTTTTAATGTGAATGTAATTCGCTTTCGCTTCAAGTTATAAAAAGATTTCTTGTTTTATTAATTTTTTTTTAAATATCTAATTCATCCCCCCTCTTGGCACATCTAGTTTCGGCTTTTATCATTAATTTCAGAATTGAAGCTTTCTCATGATCAATATTTCTACATGATCTCTTGAGGTGGTAGTCTTCTAGCCTAGCAAGTTCATGATTATAGGATTTAAGAATTTTTTTAACAATCCAATTTCTAGCTTCATCAACTACAAACCTAACCAAAGATGGACAACTCATTCTGATTTTCTATATTTCTTTTAGGAATTCAGATCAAATCTCTTCTTAAAACTAGCTTTTGAACATGCAAAGTCCTTGGATTTTATATTTTTTGAATTTGGCAAGTAATTATAATGTTCCTTGAGCACACAAAATCTATTATTATGGGTATAAGTTCAATAAGCATCATAGAATTAAATGCTTCTTTTTCATCTTTATACATAATCTATAAATTGGAAAAAAGCATGAAAAAGTGCAACAAAAGAGCATATAAAGTGCAATGAAAGATTAACAAAAGCAAAGTTAAATCGAACTTACTGCGCTGTTGCTACGACATTATTGTGCTTACAATGCGCTATTATTGTGCTTTTACCACAATGAAAGAATATTAAAAAAACATAATTAAATCACAACAAAAGCGTAATTAAAACGCAACAAAAGTGAAATAATAGTGCATTTTAAGCAAAAGTGCATCGAAAGAGTATCGAACGCGTACCACAAGCACAACAAAAGTTCTGTGAAGGTGTCTTAAAGGCGTCACTACCAATGTAGTGAATATGGAACAAGAGCACATAAACAAATTTGCAGAAAAAGCATAGTAGCATATTCAAAGTTCTTTGGTACTAAGTATTTAAGTCCTTATTTCTACATAACTTTGGAAACCCTTTGAACAACTTATGATGAGGTACAAATTTACATATAAGTTGAAACATGCAATAGTTTCAGCCAAATTAACTTTCGATTCCTGAAATTTTTATACCTCTTTTCAGCATTCGTGTCTTGTGACCATTCCATCTCCGTGAATATTGTAAAGTTCTTTTTTTTTTCTTTCTAAGAAGGTATCATAAGTCCTGAATATTTGAATTTGGGAGTTTTTATGTGTTTTTTCTTAAAATGAATCGCCAACCTTAATGAATTTTAAAACTAATTTCTTAACATAAAAATAAAGACAATATTTTTTTATTTTTTTAATATTTTAAAAAATAAGTAGCGATTATCACTTAGTGCGAAAGCAAGACGAATTTATCAAAATATGAAAATTACAATGATGAAATTCTAATCAGTAGAGCTAATCATTGAGTACGATTTTTCACGAAGCAGTTATAACAAAATTAAGGTTCAAAAGTAAAAGCGAAAAATAGAAATAAGAATAAACACGCTAGAGATTTATATTGTTTCAGACAAATAATGACCTATGTCCACTCTAAGTATAGCACTATCGCTATTATGTCTCTCCTTTTTCCCTCTCAACAAGGCGAAAAAGCCCTTACACAAATCACTTCCACCAAATTCGGTGCTACTGAGAGACAAAAGCTTGATCACTCTCTTGGTGACGGCAGCTGACCTTCAATCATTTTCTCCCTTCTAGAGAAGGCAGAGTACCATGAACTCCTTTCTCACCGTCTTGGTGATTGTAGAGAACCATGTCCTTGAGCTGAAGAATTTCTCCCTGGAACCACCCAAGAAACCTAGACAAATATTTGGAGGAACAAGTTAAGACACTTTTCTTAGAGCAACCATGTGATCTATTCATACTACTTCTCCCTCACATATAAGCTCTCCCTCTTCTTCCAAAAGCTCTCCTAGAACTTCTTCTCAAAGCTCCATCTCAAGAACATTCAATAGTTAAAAATTTGAAGCAAGTCACTTGAGAGAGACTAAATACAGGTCCACAAAAAAGCCCTAAATTTAATTCTGGCGACATTGATCGTCTAGTATGATCATGTATTATCCTGTAGGATTAGTTCAAAGTGCTCCTATTAGTAGTATACGAAGAGCTTGGTGCTCAAATTGATTGCCTAGGATAATTTAGATCATCATCCAATATGATTAGTTCAAATGACTTGGATTATCGTCAAGTAGGATTGGCGACAATTTAATTATCATCCAATGTATAAATCGAGTCGTACAGTATGATTGGTCAAATCATCCTTTGTGTATTGATTGGATTAATTAATCCATCCTCATTCCCTAATTACAAGATTAGTTTAGGCAATATTTAATTACACCGTACAATACAATACATATCGTATAGTATGATAAGTACACAATTTGAATTTCAAAATATTACCTCAACTATGATTGGCGCTGAGATCCCTATTTTTAATTGATCGTCATATACGATATACATCATATAGTACGATTAGTTTATCTTGCTTTAATTATCATAATTAAGCATTTTAATCATTTTATGATTAGCTGATCGTACAATACGATATGGATGATACTATACGATTAATTCAAAAAATTCAAAGACATTGCCACTAACACACTCCCTTGAGTGTGTGTGTGTGTGTGGTTTTCAAGCTTAGCATCCACCAAATACATGATTTGATTTAAGAAAAATAAAAATACATAAGAATTGAAAATACAAACTCTTCATGACATACTTAATTCTAGTCTACCTAATTTTGAGCTGATCAAACTTGCAAGTGAACGATGAATCTGAAATATTAGTACATAAAAAATAGATATGCAAAAATAGCAATTAACATGAGATAACACAGTAAGAAATCAATAATATTTGTTATCATCAAAATTACAGGGCTTGGGGGCCGTATTTGTTATACCGTAAACCCCGGCGTTTAAAAGTAAAAAAAAATTTAAATTTGGTTAGGCTGACAAGACATAAATACAAAATAATATTCAATAAAAAAATTAATGTTTTTATTTCACGTGTCAAAACTTAATTGAAGTCAAGGTGCACCAAATAATTTGTGGTTTTTATGACAATGCTATTTATTCTCGAGTCACGAATCTTGACGTTATCCGTAGAATGCTATGCCAAAGGGCGGCTTTTTCTTCAGCTGGCCGCTGGACGATGCAGCTCGAAGTACTGAATGAGTGACGTTGCTGACTTCTCTTTCCCTCTCTTTCCAGATTACGTGCGGAGTCCCAACAAGGACCCCAAATGCTGGGAGAGGCGAGGGTTTTCCGATCGAAACCTAGGGTTTTGGTTTCTGCTTTTTCTTCTTCTCATTTATATCTCGACTCTCTCGCCCCATGCTGATCTAGTAATATTTTCCCTGAACTCCTTCACGAATGGATGACACGGAGGACGACGCCAGGTATCCCCCAAATTCCTACACCCAAAGTAATCGCCGCCCCATTCCTTCTTCCAATTACTCCAATCTCCACGCTCGCAATAACTCCTACCAATTACAAATCCCTCGCGGCTACCCCGATGATTACGTTGATGAAGATGAGGAGGAACGGAACGAAGTCGATTTGGCCGTGAATGATGCCGAAGAAGAAGAAGACGAGGAGGTTAGCGGCGGACGAGGTTATCTGCAGACACGGAACGAGGTCGACGATGACGACGAGGATGATGCTGACGAATCATCTGAGAGCCGCGGGAAGCGGCGTAGGCTTGATCAGTACGCACGAGGCTTTGAGTTGGTCCCCCGCTCGGTCGTTACCCCTGCGGTGAAGCCGCTGTCTTGTCGAACATCGCTGGCCGATTGGTCGGAGGACTCTACTTTCGCCCTTCTGGATGCGTGGGGAGATCGTTTCCTGCAGAACGGCCGGAAGAGTCTTCGCTCAGACGAATGGGGTGAGGTCGCCAAGAAGGTCTCCCAGGGCTCTAAGACTCCCCGATCCGAAGTTCAGTGTAGAAACCGCTTGGATACTTTGAAGAAAAAATATAAGAAGGAGAAGGCTAAGTACCCTGATTACTCTAGCTCAAGCCGCAAGTGGGTTTATTTCCGTAAGATGGATGAGCTGATGTCATCACCTCCTCCTCCACCCCCTGCAGCCCGGCAACATTCTCAACTACCTAGGCTCCCCTGTGGCATTGATGCTGGAGAGTATGTCTTTGCAAGCTCTAGGCTTTATTTGAATAACTCCGATGCTATAGCTGAGATGAGGGATAGCCCGGGTGATACAGCCTCTGAAGGGGAGGGTGACGAGGTGGATGATGAGTCTGATGGACTACCACCAAGAAGAGAGAAGGTTGGAGGAAACTCAGAGTCTTCTTTCAAGATGCTTGCTGATTCAATTCAGAAGTTTGGTGCCATTTATGAAAAAATTGAGAACAATAGGAGGCAGCAGATGGCAGAGCTGGAGAGGATGAGGAAGGAGTTCCATAGGGATCTCGAGTTGCAGAAGAGGCAGATTTTGGATGGGGCACAGGCTGAGATCGCTAGGATAAGACAGGAAGATAGGGAGGAGGAGGGCGAAGAGAACACTGATGAGGACGACAATGGTGATAATGATGATACTGACGTTTCTGCAGAGAATATGAGCGGGTGAGGTAGGCTTGATTATACTTTTTTTTATTTTGTGGGTTTCTTTAGAATCACTATTATTTGGTTTCATTTTTACGTTTTTTTATTGTTTGCTTCCAATATCTTACTATTCGATTATCTTCATCAAACTAATATTATTGGATTTGGAGTGCATAATCAGTAACATTTTAGGAATTCTAGTATGTAAAATGGAACTTACCAAAAAGGATTAAAACATACTTTTTACTCCGTCAAAAATGCAAAAAAATTCTTGACTTGCTACTCACTTGTAAACTGAATTTGCTGCCCCTAGCAACAATCATTCCAAAATGATAACGAGTGTCATTTTCCATTGGCAACAATGCATGTCATGTTCTTATTTAACTTCAAGTTGAGACTTTTGTAGTCATTTGAGAATATCAATTAAGCATTGTCATAGAATTCTCTTCCTTTTTTTTTAGGGGAATTTACATGCTTATCATTAAAATATCTACTATTTTCCTATTTAACAGGTAAAAATTATTATCCAATCACATGCCACCATTTATAAACTTTTAAATGCATGAAAATTACCACCTTCTCAACTTTTAGTTAAGCTTGCTCTCCTTTGTTAAACTTGCCATGTGTAGAACGACATAAATTGTGACGTGATGCATTAGCCTCCTCCATGACCCTAAATCGTCCTTATCCTTGATAAGCCCACCTTTGGCATCAACAATGCTTCACTTCCATCATCCCTCCTCCATCTCGTTGCCTCTATTAGTTGCTTCCTTGTCCTAGTCCTCTCCGTCTACCAACCTCCTTTCTACCACTTTAATCGACTTTATCCTTCTCCCCTATACTTCCATCCTCCACCATGACAATCTCCTCTCCCTCTCCTCCTTCCTCTCCTTCACCAGTTTCTTCCTCCCTAACCACCTCATCCCCTATGAGCTCACTCTTGAGGTTCTCCTCATTCTCTACAGCTTGGTCGATAATGCCACTTCTTCTTTCGGACGGTCAACATCACCAACCTCGTGAAGTCAATTTACTGGTCTTCCTCCTTATCATATTTTTATTTTCATGCTTTAAGTCTGTATTGTCTATTTCTTCATTGTATTGCCTTCATAAGAAGTGGTACCATTAGAAAAGGAATTAGTGGTTGCTTCTACTCTGTTGTGATTGAAGTTGAAGTGCTGGTTGCTGCAAATGGAAGTTCTGAGATATATATTTTTGTTGAATTAAAAAGATTTAGGTGATGTAAGGGTAAAAAAGATAATGAGGGTAATTTTCATTTTATCGGTAGATATGGCGATCCCCCATCTTTTGTTATCAAGTATTAGGATTTTGGTGGTATTGTTTGAGACACTTACAAAGGGTATTCAAAATTAGCTGTCTTGGTGTATGCTTTTCATAATGATATTGTTCTAATTAATGGACATTTGATAAAATAATTGGAAGGCTAAAACAATGGATATATAGTTTAAAAGATTAAAGTGTTATGGCTGCAGGCCAAGGGAGGCTAGATCTTGTGGAGGGGGCGGAACCTGAAACAAAATCCAAGGAGATTTCAGCCCCTCTTATGGGGCTTAGCAAAGCAATAATTCATTATGTTAGGAGGATAATTAAGGAGGGAATTAAGGAGATAATTAAGGAGGAAAAGATCTCTTATTTGAATTCAAATATGAGAGGGAAATTAATAAGGAATGTAGGTTGATTTGGGGGCTGATTTGAAGGGGATTAATTAGGAGATGTTTACTAGTTAAAAAAGAAGATTTGGGGATTGAATTGATGAGATTAATTAGGAGATTTTTCCTAATTAAAGAGGTAAGATTTGAGGGCCGAATTGGAGGAGATTAATTAGAAGATATTTCTTAATTGAAGAGGTCTGATTTGGGGGCTGATTTAGGGGGTTGATTTGAGAGGGAATTGGGGGAGGGACGTTTTGGAATTTGTTGTTTTATTATTTGCTATAAGTAGTAGGATTTATGTTATGTTTGTATGGAGAATTTGATTTGAGAGTGCTATAGTTTTCTTTTTGTGGGGATCCTAGTCGCGTCTATGGTTTGGGAGAGGTCCTTCTCTCAAAAGAGGACCATTGTATCTTACTTTGTTCGTATTTGATTTTCTATTAATATAAATATATTTTTTGTGTTGAATATGTTGGAGTTTGTTGCTGTTTTTAATACCAACGCCGTCAGAAAGCCCCTTGAATTATTAGAAGAAAGGATGGGTATTTGGTGTGAAATTAACAATTATGAATCACTATTGTTTGATGATAAACTTATACTTTAGTGTATTAGATTTAATTATTTTGGAGCTATTATTCATAAGAATGTAGATAGAAATGATAATATAACATCTAAATTTAAGGTTAGGTGGCTAAAATGAAGAATTGAATCGAGATAATAATGCAATAAATGGATATCTTGGATATTGAAAGGTAAATTTCATGTAACTATAATTATGTCGGCTATGTTTATGGATTTAATTGTTGAGCAATAAAAAGTTAATTATTGGTAAGTTGAGGTAATAAAAATGAAAATGTTTTCATCAATGTATGCAAATTTATAAATGATATATTGAGGAATGATTAAGATTGGAGTAACATCTATTGAAGATAAAGTAGTTAAAAATGTATGCAAATTTATAAATGATAAATTGAGGAATGATTAAGATTGGAGTAACATCTATTGAAGATAAAGTAGTTAAAAATAGATTTACATTGTTTTTATATCATATTGAATGATAGAAAATGCATTTCCTTAAGCATGCAAATTAAATTCTTAAGCGGTGGTAATTGAAAAACAAAAAGGCAGACCGAGGTGGTGAATAGGAGTGTGGAGACTTATTTGAGATCTTATGTATCAAAAAATAACCAAGACCTAAGTGAAGTGGTTATCTTGGGCCATGTACTGGTACAATACATCCTACCTTTGTGCAACACATACTACACCTTCATAATCCTTTATATTAGAGACCCCATCTCTTGGTATACTATGAGATTAAGAGCACTCCAATTTTATGAGTGGGACAACACTTGGAGGAATGAGATAGGATATTGGGAGAGCTTAAGGGGGCACCTATTGAGGGCACAACAAATTATAAAGAAGCTAGCTGACGGGCATAGAAGGAATGTGCCGTTCGAGGTGGGTGATAAGGTGTATTTGAAGATTCGACCCTACATACAGAAGACCTTAGCTTGAAGAAGAAATGTAAAGTTATCTTCATGAGATTATGGGCCTGATGAGGCTATAGAGAGAATTGGTTCCATAGCTAATCTTCCAGCTACCCCTACTTTCGCCATACACCCATTATTCCATGTGTCCCAACTAAGGAAAGTTATTGACAATCACAGTCCATTAACGATGCTTTCGATGAACTTGAAAGAAGAAATGGAGGTGATCCTGGAGCCAATGAAAGTGAGAGGAGTTTGCTCGACAACCGGAGGAGCTGGATAAGTGCTGATCGAGCGAAAGGATCTACCCGACTATGAAACAAGGAAATCATATCGGATAATTCAACACTAGTTTCCTTTGTTTCACCTTGAGGAGTATTGATGTACCGGCTGAGTCAGTCCAGCCAATCAACTCGGCCTCAATAAGGGGTGGCGATCTAATTGGCAGGTGGAAGAGCCTCGTGGGCCCCACTAGTGTGGGCGATGGGTAAGGAGAGAGGGGGGCTCAAAGGGGATTAATTATTTTTTTAATTATTTATCATAGAAAATAAAATTTGGGAGGAAATTAAAAAGATTTATTTAGAGAAAGAGGGCTTATGAAGGTTTATTTAGGGAAATAGGGGTGATTTGAATTCAGATTTGAGAGAAAATTAGGAAATTTTATTTAGAATTAATTAACGATTAAAAAGGCGTTTGAGGCGGACGCCTCGAGGCGCGCCTCGAATCGAGGCGGAGGTCGGGCGAACTGAGGCTTAAGCCTCGAAAGCTCGGGCGAGGCTTACGCCTTTTTCCACGGAGGCGTACGCCTCACCGCGTGAGGCGTCGAGGCGCATCGAGGCAGCGCCTCGACTTGACCCCGCGACCTAACCGGGCAGCGCCCCCTTGGACCCCCGGCAGACTGGTATATTTTTGTATTCATGTTATTTTATTATTGGTAGTACAAATAATTGTTATTTTTGTTATTTTTTGTCATTATTTAAAATTTTAAATTAATTTATTTTAATCGTTTTGAGGCTTATGCCTCGATCCGTCTCGAGGCTTACGCCTCGCCTCGCTTAGAAAAAATGCCTCGATTCCCGATTTCGCCTTTTAAAACCTTGGAATTAATTAGGTTGTTTTATTTTTTTATGAGATTTTATGTTTTGCGGCAATTTTCTTTGAAGATGTTTCTATCAGTGCCAAGGGTTTGTGGAGAGTCGATCTATCTCTCGAATAGTAGTTAATTTGTATCTTAATTTGTTCTATAGATATCAATAAAATTAGCCGTTAATCTCATTCTTTATTGCTAATTTTTGCTGCGTTATCTCTTCATTATTGCTGTTTTTTGGCTGTATGGATATCAAATTCCTATCAAAATAATTATGGATACTTCAATCAGTGATGGCTTTGATCTTAATATGATTAATTCTGAGTCTAGATGTTTGTCCATATATAAAAATTTCTTGAAGTCCATATATAGTCTCTCTTCCAGACGCTTGATAATGGAGATGTTGGTCTCTATTTTGACTATATATGAGGATATTATCAAAATAAACCATCAGAAATTCTCAATAAATGATTTTAACATTGCTCACATTCCTCATGAATGTGCTTGATTCATTAGATAGTCTAAAAGGGCCATCTTCCACTCATTCTCATGTATTATTTTTTTGTAAGGTTCTCTTCCACTCATCCTCATGTTTAATTTTTATTTGATGTAACTACTTTTTAAATCAATTTTTGTAAAATAAGTGACATGTAAGATTTAATCTTGCTATTGATAGTGCACTACCAATGCACATCATTCATTATTAGAATTAGATATAAATAGGCATGATGCATCTATACTTGATGGTGATACTCATGTTAACTCTACTATCAAAACACATTATCCATTACATTCCTTCTTATTAGGGGTCAACAGGGCTGGAATAACACATGGACTAATGCTTTTCTAGAAAAACCTTTCTTAATGATCCCATTACAATGATAACAACATCAAGCCTTTGTCCCACTACGTGGGGTCGGCTAAATGAATTTTTTTTCGCCATTGTATTCTGTTAAAATTCAAATTCTCATTTAAATCTAATAAAGAAAGATCATTTTTAATATTTTATAACCAAGTCTTTTTAGGTCTACCTCTACCTTTCTTAATATAAGTCAAATCTAATACCTTAACTTTCCTAATCGGGTCATCGGAAGGCCTCCGTTTAATGTGACCAAACCTTCAACTCGAGCTACTCCAACCTTTTCACGTATATGCTCATTTCATATCCTGTCTCTAAGGTTAAAGACACTTAGAATTATGCTTCTCTTTTAATGGCCAACATTCGGCTGAATGAGCGTTCTATAATTAAGAAATTCATTTGTAGGAAGAACATTCTTAATCTCCACCAAAACATTTGCACATTTGGTTTGAGTTTCAGTTTAGTAAGCCACTTCATGAAAGCAACAACTTCTTCACTATATTCATGTTCAAAACCTGCTTAATATGATAATGCAGTAATAGACTTTTCCGAATGTTGATACCCTAGTTCAATTTGATCTTCAATTATATTTGTGTAAATAGGAACCTGGATAATAAAGGATATATGATTTTCATTAAAAAGTTTTTAGACCTCCGAACATTTCCAATTGCTTTCAGGAGATAAGAAATCTTGAACTTTGACTTGTAATCCCACATGATCAATACATGAAGACCTACTATGAAAACTTCTATCAAAGATCCAAACATCATTTAGAATGCCAACTTTGTTACCGTTAGATAACTTCCATCTAATGATAGGTTTAATATGATTAGCACCATTGACCAAGATATGCCAAGTAGAAGAAGACCTTTTGATTTTAGCAGTCCACATATCATTTTCATATTTTGCAGTAAGGGTACAGTTTAGTAAAGAAGGGTTTTGAATAAATATCCATGCCAATTTAGCTCTTAAAGGATCTACATGCTTACCACCAAATGAATGACACATCCACCAAATATTTTCTCTTTGCAAGTCTCATCCCAAGCAACATAATGCAACCCATTTCTACCTTTGTCTTTATGCCAAATAAAATTTCTGCATAATTTTTCTAGATGAAATAACAAAACCTTAGGCACCGAAGAATGAGCAGATATAACATAGGAAGTGGTAAAAGTGACGAATTAATGAGAAGAATTATTTCTGCCAAAGAAAGGCTTATGTTTCCCCAAGCATTCATCCTTTCCAATGCATGATCTATAATATTCTGAAAATCAGTCACTTTCAATTTTCTTAGCTCAATTTTTACTCCAAGATACTTCATTTCTTTAACAACTCTAAAACCAAACTTTTTGGCTATCTTTCTCTTCCTTGTAGCTTCAATTAAATTCCAAAAAAAAAAAAAAATTGAGATTTGCTGTTATTAACCTTTTGACATGTCTAACTGCAGAAATCAGCTATAATATCTTTCATAACTTCTGCTACTCTTGGAGATGCTATCGAAAAATAAAAGAACATCATCAGCATATATTAAATGTGAAATTTTTTCAGTATGTGGTCTATTTTAATACCCAATGCTGCACCTCTTTGCAAATATACCATTAGATAAAATTTGAGAGCATATGATAAATAAATATGGAGACAAAGGATAACCTTGTCTGAATCCTCTCTTAGATTTGATACATTTAGAATTTCTCCCATTTATAAGATTAGTAAATCTAGCATTTTCCACACATTCAAAATAAGATTAGATAACTTTGTAGGAAAACCAAATCAACTTAAGGTTTTAACTAAACCCGGCCAACCCATGCTATCATAGGCTTTTTCTATATCAATCTTTGCAGCCATTAGACCCTTCTTTGAATTGGAAAATCCGAGTTTATTAAAAATTTCTTGGGCTAAAAGTTAATGATCAAACATAGATATTCCAGGAATAAAAACAACTTGATCTTCAGGGATGATTTTTGGAAGGCACAATTTCAATATGTTCATTAACATTCTAGCTGCCACTTTGTAAATTGTTTGACACAAACTAACTGGTTAGAAATGAGAAGGTTCAATCGGATTTTTAACCTTAGGGATTAACACAATTAATGCGTCCTTCCAAATAGGAATCATTTTTCTAGTTTTGAAAAAACTGTCAATAGCTCTCCATGTATCATCTTTAACAATATTCCAAAATAACTTAATAAAAGAAGCAGTAATACCGTCGATTTCATGAGATTTGTTATCAGTCATTTGATGAACGGATTCTGAGAATTCTTCTAATGTAAAATCTGCATTGAGATTTATAAAGTCTTCATTATCAATTTTCTGTCTAGTACGAGCTTCATGCTATTCCGTCAGTTTGGATCTTTTGCTTTGTCATTTGTTTTTGAAATCTTCAAAAAAAGCTACTTCAATATCATCTTGATCTTCTACCAAGCTGTTATTTCCATCTTTAATTTGTTTAATCAAATTGCCATTCCTCTTTGTTGAAGCATAGTTATGAAAGAATTTGGAATTTGAATCACCTTCATCAATCCATTTCACCTTAGCTCTTTGGTTTCACCATGTAGCTAACTGGTTCAAAGTTAGATTCAGTTCATGGACTTTTCTTCTAGGCATATTTAGATTTTATGTATTAAGATTGCCAAAATAACTTTCTTCCAATTGAAGATTAAAAATTTCATTTTTTTACTCTTCTTTAAGAACATTCAAGTTCTTCAACTTATTCTTATTCCAAAAATAAAGAGCCTTCAAAGATCTTTTCATTTTTATGTTAAGAATTTCACCATCAATATCAAAATCTGATTTCCTCCAAGATGTGAGAACAACATTTCAAGCTGCTAGATAAGACTTCCATACATCTTCAAATTGGATGGACTTCTTTTGAGGATGAGGGATGTCACATATTTTGAAAATAAGAGGACTATGATCCGATGCAACTCTTGCGAGATGCCTAATCATAGAAAAATGAACACTTTGGATTGCAGTTGAGTTTAGAAAACATCTATCCAATCTTTCTCAGATTCTTGAAGATCCTTATTGTTATACCAAGTAAATCTTGGTCCAATGACACCTACATCATGAAAATCATTATTAGCCATAAATGATTTCATTTTCTTCCTTGAGAGAATATGAATCTCTTCCCCTCTCTCTTATCTTCTTTAGAAATAATACAATTAAAATCTCCACCCACAATGGAATGAATGTTAGAAGAAGAAAACCTCTCAAGACTATCCCATAAACCTTTTCTAATATACAAGTCCTTATTACCATAAATAGTAGCAACATTCCAACTACCCATATTAGGAATTTGAATAGACCTAAACACTAAAACATTAAAAAAGAACTCATCCCTTTTCCATAAAACAAGAATTCACCCCGAAGTACCATTAGTAGGATTATGAAAAAAATCCCATTCCTTACCAATAATCCAATTGACCTCCCTCCTACTAATAATGGATAATTTTGTTTTCAGTAGCCCAATAAAAAAAAAAAAACATTGTTGTCTTTAACAATCTCTCTTAAGATAAAAAGAAGCCTCCATTTTTTTGGCTATCTACAATTCCAAAATAAAAAAGAAACATTAAGAAACAAAAGGGAACCCCCCACCACCCCGACTCATATTCAAATCAACTTTTCTTTTTCTTGGGATTGCTTCGATAAGTCCTAAGGATTTAAGTTCTTTTTGCATTTTTGTTTATCACTAAAAGTTCTTTTTGCGTTTTTGTTTAACACTTAAAAAGTTCTTTTTGCATTTTTGTTTAACACTTAAAGAACTTATAACCTCATTACATTAAACAAAACTAGAAGACTTAGAACTTATCTTGGTTTCAGAATTTAGATTGGAGGAAATATTTGCACAGTTGTTTCCAAAATCATCGTTCTTCTGTGGAATCAGAACTTCAGAAGCCTTCACTTCTATCTTCGGCTTAACGGCAGCTTCAGAATTAGCTTAAATTTCTTCTTCAGGTTTGAGCTTTTCAGTAACAGTATCAAATACAATACTTCTTCGGGAGCAGCATCAGCATTAATTACAATAGCTTCAGATTTTGGATCTACAGAATCAGCAGCTTCACATTCTAGTTTATGATTAGCTTCAGCTATAATAACTTCTTCAGTAGCAGAATCTTCAATACAGTGTGATAATAAATTGAATTTATTAGCATTTAATACAACTAATGATCAGAAACTGGAGTAAGCATTTGTAAGAATAGATTTCACATTATCCGCAGCAGACGTTTCTGAATGAATTACTGAAGATTTAGCATTCTGAATTTTATCAATATCTCTCTTCAAGACAATTATTTGCTTAGATAAAATTTGCCCATCATTCATCTTGGAAGAATTAAGAGTTTCATCATTAGATTTTGGAGCATTTTCATTAACAGCTGAATGATTTACCATAACAATACCAGGGTTTTTGAAAGAATTCAAATCCGCATTGTTAACTGAAATATTGTTATACCCAGATTTCTGATCTTATTCAACACAATTTTTCTCCTGTTTTTCCTGAAATTCACATGAATCCAAGGATCATAATCAAGTTCATTTTCTGGTTTAGAAGCAAACTTATCTGTCACACTTTTAGGAATATCTTCAACCAAATCAGAAGTACTTTTATGAACAAAATCAGTTTGAAGTTCGTTACGACCTTCAAGACAAATCAATTTTGTGTCCTATCTTTCAATATTTAAAACATAGGGAAGAATTTTTTTTTCATATTCAATTTTCTGAAAAAAATTTCTGCTCACTTCTATCCGGACACCATGTGGTAGCCTAGAATCCAAATTTATGCTAACACAAATTTCTTGCAAATTTTCTTCTTCTCCATTTAAACATATTATCATCTAACAACATAGGTAAACCAACTTTTGAAGCAATCTTAGTAACATTGACTCATCCCAACATTGTAAAGGTAAATGTGGCAAACGAATCCAAATAGATGATGATAATCCTTTCATAGATAATGGTGAAAATTGTGGTGTCTATTTATCAATTCCAATTATGTGTCCACCAACATAACAATGTCCCCCACTTAGAACATCTTCCATAGATTCAGAAGAATGAAAAGAACATAAAATCCAATCTAAATCAAGCGAGGTTAGATGGAATCCACCAAATTTACTCCATTGTCATCTTAATTCAATACTACATAAAGGGAAAGGGATATTTTTTCCAAAAGCTTTAACTACAAGTGAGTTTTTAAAAAAATTGACATTTTCAGCTTCCTTTCTTCATTAAGTGTAATAATATTTCCATATTCTTGCATCTCAGAATCCAATTTAAGATGATTAACTTTAATATGTTGAGTTTTGGCCCAAGCATTCATAAAATTATTTTTCTGAACAAAAATTTCGAGCACATTTTCATTGCTGTTTACAGAAACAGAAGCATTTTTTCCTGTAGACTTCAATAAAATCTTTGGAGAAACATCATCGACCAAATGATTTTTTTTCAATTTGGACAGGGGATTTAATTTTACATCAATTATCATCATAAGTAATATGATTAGTAAATCTACTAACTTTCAAATTGAAACTTGATGAAGACGAAGCTTCCAAATCATTAGTCCTTGGTTCACATCCAATAATGCCCTTCTTCCCGAATGCAGGTTGGAAATCTTCAGTAGAGAAATCATTCATGTTATGCTTTAATTCTTAAGGAATTAAAATTGATTTGCCCTTTCCTTCAACTGGAACATTAAGACAAACATCTTGAAGACCACCTTCATTGATTACTAAAGGTTTCTTTTTGAATGGATTCTTCCGATCATTACTGCGAATGAATCGATATCTGCCTCTAGAACTATCATATTGATTTTGATCAATATGGTTCTTGGAAGATAATGGAGCTGAGGTGGTCCAGTCATCAGAATGCAATGATCGGCGACCCTCCGCTGCCATAATGAGAAAAAGCGATAAGATGGGATGGAACAAACAGAAATTCAAATTTTGGGATTTCCTCTCACTAGAAAACAGGATTTTCTCACTATAAAACAGAAATTCAAAATATCTTTAGAAGCCTAGGACTTCAAAATGCAAAGTTAAATCTTATTTGGTTGCAAGATTTAAGCAGGGTTTGAGCTAAATCCTACCAAACACCAAAAAATGCAAAGTTAAATCTAACGGTAAGTTTAAGCTCCACTTCATTGTGTTTTTGACATTTCTGTCATAATCTAAATTTAGTTAATTCGATAGTTCGACGTATTTATCTAATTTAGCCGAAGAAGCATGTGAAAAGGGTGAGATTGTCACTTTTGCAGCGTGCTCCCGTCATAACTTTTGATCTAACACGATGTTGTTGAAGGGGGCAAAGCAACTTCCTTTAGTGCAACACTACACCTGTCGATATCAACACAACTGGCAATGAATTGAATTGGATAACACCTGAGCTGCTTTTGAAGATGCTGGAGGAATTGATTTACCATGTTGAAAACAGTTTCTAGCCCTGCACACATGATAAACAAAAGAAACATAGAGTAATCAATCCAGAATTCCGATCTACTTCTCCAAATAATTCAAACAATGCGGTAAATCATGGAAGATAGGAAGTCTAATACCCCAAAGTTTAAGAGTGTCTATCATTTCTATTAATTTATTACAACAAACTGCAATATGTTTATAATCTTCCAGTTCATCATACCCTCTAGGACAACAATTATTAGAATGCAATTTCCTGTAATTTAAGCAATCATTAGTAGGAAGTGCATTGTTAATATGTCTCCACCAAAAATAACACTTCCCTCGGTCTAAACCTGATCTTCTTCATCCATCTTACATTTCTTCCACTAGAGCAAATATTTTGAATTGATGCTTCATATGCAAGAGCAGTAACAGTTTTACCTGAAATTGATTTTTGAAGCTCGGGTATATCATCCAAAGAAATTTCCTGAACAGGGATTTACTGAATTAATTCCAACATTAGCTCTCCAAAATGCATTTTGAATATTTTTGTGTCCCACATACCACTATCATCCATGAGATCCGCAACTTTTTTTCTTGAAGATCAAGTAACTTACCCATGGTAGGCCACTTATTTAAGCATCTATCTAATATCCGTGCATTTTCAAAAATTCTGATACTTCTTTCGTTACCAACCCTCCACCAAATGATAGGCTTAAAAAAAAATTGGCACCATCCACAATTATACGCCATAAAGAAGATGTGCTCCTCTTAATTTCAGCATTCCATATTTCCCTAGCATATTTTTGTTTGATAACTTTGTTGAACATGGAATTAGTATTTTGAATGAAGTTCCATGCTTTTAGAGCCCGTAAAGGACCCTATCTTCCAGTAGCTCCTTGAAGTCCAAGACCTCCCTTAATTGAAGGAGTACAAAGAGAATTCCAAGCAATATAATGCAATTCTGGTCTTCGTTGATCTTTAGGCCACAAAACATTCCTGCATAATTTATCAATATCATCCAACAAACCTTTAGGTATAAGAGAATGAGTCATAATATATGAAGGATGAAAATGCAAATTTGATTAATGAAATTATCTCTGCCAACAAAAGACATCGAGAGCCCCCAATAATTGAGTCTCTCTAATGCCTTAAGCATCAATGAATAAAAGTCTGAAGCCTTTAATGTTCTCATAATCATCTTCACTTGTAGATATGTGATTTCATAAACTTCTTTGAATCCCATTAGTTTGCTAAGCTATTTTTCCTCCCAGTCACAGATTTCCTGAAGAGAATCATGGATTTCTTCTCATTAATAAGCTGACCTGTCCACCGACAATAATCCCTCAGAATTTTGCTAACATTTGATGCATTTCTCCTATTAGCCTCAGCTATCACATGCACATCATCAACATTATGCTGATGAGAGACTTTTTCGGAATTTGAAGCCAATTTGATACCAATATCCTTTCCATTTTGATGAAATGCCTTTGATAATAATTCTTCACACATAATAACTAGAAAAGGAGTAAGCGGGCATCTCTGTTTAAAGCTACTTTTAGCCTCAATCCACTCCCTCCCATTAATAATGATAGAAAATATAGGGTAGCTCACACATTGTATAATTCAATTTGATATATTATTCGGAAATCCCATTACCCTTAAAACTTGCTTTATAGTTTCCCAAAGCATACGGCCGTATGCTTGATCCATATCTAACTTGATAACCATACATCCTAATTTAGCTAAAGAGAATTTATTTAGGATCTCTTGAGCCAACAATCAATTCCCTGAGATGGATCTTCCCGGTACCGAAGCTCCTTATTCTTCTGAGATAGGCATAGGCAGACAAGTCTTTAATCTATTTACAATCATTCCTACAACAATCTTGTATATCGTTTGACACAAACTGATAGGCCTAAACTTTGAAAGTTCTGAAGCATTTTCAACCTTAGGAATAAGAACAATCACTGCATCTCTCCAAGTTTCTGCACAATACCTGATCTGAAAAATTCTTCAATTGCATTCCAAATTTCCACCTTTATAATGTTCCAATAAGCTTTTAAAAAACAAGCATTCACACCATCCACTCCAGGTGATTTATTATTATCCATTCTCATCACAGAATTATACAGTTCTTGTGTAATATCTGCATCCAACATATTCTTTAAATCTTCCTTCAATTGCTGTTCTGCTGAAAACCAGGCTACTTTTCCAGTTTACAATGCCTTTCTCTCAATTTATTTAGGAAAAGATGAACAAAAGAAGTCTGGATCTGTTCTGGATCAGTTTCAATATTTCCATGCAAATTAGTTATTTGATTGATCCTGTTACCATTCCTCTTAGTAGTTGCATAAGCATGAAAGAAATGTGAATTACTATCTCCTTCTTCCAACCATTGTGTTTTTGACCTTTGTCTCCACCACGTTGCCAATCTAGCAAAATAACATTAAGCTCATGAATTTTCCTTCTCTATTTTAACATCTCGTCAGAATCTAAACCACCCGAGCTACTCTCCTCTTCTTGAAGCAACAAAATATCCTTTTGCAATGTATCTTTCAAATTATTAAGCCCATTCAATTTATTCTTACACCAAAAGAATAAACTCCTTAGTGATCTTATAATCTTTTTATGCAAAACTGCAGCATGGTTGTCTTGGTCGCATTTTTTCCAAGCTTTATTAACAATACCCCAAGAAGCTTCATACAAACTCCATATATTCTCAAATCTAATAGCTTTTTGATCATGATGAATGATATTGCTTAAATTAAGCATTAAAGGACAGTGATCAGAAGCAATTCTCGGCAAATGCTTATTACCGCAAAAGAAATATTTGACAAAGCTTTAGAGTTTAAACAAACTCTATATAATCTTTCCCATAT